TACATCAAAACCGTCAGTGGAACGGATGACAACAAAATGTAACGCAACTATTAGTCTGTGAATGAATTTTCAAGGCTGCATAAGCTGCACTTAGATCTATGTTTGAGAGGACTTGATTATACAGTTCACGGTAAAATTAGTAGGATTCACGATAAAGTAGATTACCTATAGTAGTAGATTCACAAATAAATTGATCTTCATAGCATTAAAACTTTAAAATACCGAAAAAATAAATATATAAATTCAGCTGAGATAGCCTCCTCTTATATATATATAAAAAGTTTTTTTGCATCGAGACTGAAATTGGAGTTTGGAGCAAAGATTCTTATACTAACAAGGCCTAAAGTTTGACAGGTATTACAGCTCCTTAAAAATCCTTACTGCTTTTAACCATAACATTTTACATAATTGTTAAGGTGGTTAAGCACTTAAATGACTGAACTTATATGGGGCAATTTACGTGAGCTATATCATTTATGATTAGTTAGTGATCCTAGCCAGAATAACAGTAAATCCAAGTTTAACATAAATTTGTAAATTAAATTATTTATTCTCAAATATTTTATTTTTAACTATTCTCCTTATCCATTTATCTATCACCGAATATTATGAAATTGTCATAACACCCAAATTTTATCTATTCTTATATGTGAATAAAGCAACTTAAGTATCCCCAACTAATTCTCATTTTGTTAGCTACTATACTTCATACCACATTGTAACGGTTTTTAGGAAAGAATTAAGTTTTTATTAACTTATTCTTTCATTCTCAGCCACATTGCTTGCTCCAACTTTTTTTCTCGTGTTGAAGTAATACTTGAGCAGTTCACGCATTTTATCTTCTCACTAATTATTCTCTGGTCTATTCATTATTTTAAATAAATGTTACGTCTAATTTAAACTTTTTATTATAACTTTCTATGGCTAGTGATGCGAAATAACTTATCAACTACAACATTTCTAAGTTCCACATAAATGTCTACAAGCACAACTTACACACCTATCATCTCATCATTATGTTCTGCTTCATGCATGCACAAAATTAGTGACTCATTTTTTAAATTCAGAAGAATTTGCTTATGCTTTATAAAAGGTTTAACTAGAAAAATACATAGTCTGATGAAATTTGGATAAGCCACATCTCTTTTTTTCTCCTATCTGCACATATTTCTCAACGCAATTCCCTATAATTCCAATAAGCCTTTTTGCACTACTTTGCAGTTATTTAATTAAGTGGCACCTCCTACTCAATATCTCTAGCCTAGCCTTTCGTCATCTGATCCTCTATTTTTTTTATTTACCTCTCGTACCATCAACGGACTTGCAGGGAAATACAAGGGTATCACGTGGCTTATCTTTTGATGAATTTCTAGGCACATTTAACTTAATTACTGCTTAATTACTTGAATAATATGCTTGAAATCATAGATAAAACGAATTAAAGAAGGTTTCAGCCGAGCCAACCTAAGGGTGCCATAATCGACTTTTATTTTAACCTTTTAGATAATTTATCAATAAAATTTAGTAATCGTAAATGGGTTCAAAAATGGCTTAAAAAGGATGAGAATTCTGATTAAGTTTATAAATAAAATTGGTAGATGACGACATGACTAGTATGGATACTTAATAAACCAGATTTATTAGCTATATTCTTGAAGTCATTTTTGAATCCTAAAATCAAGTTTGGAGTTGGTAAGACTTAAGTAATGTCCAGTGTTTCTTATTGTTGTTCGCATTGGTGGACAGGAATAATTACTAACATAAGTCAAGATATTATAATCTAATTTCATTACTGAACCTTTTCGAGAATCAAAAATATGACCTTTGGTACAGTAGATCCTCAAACAATCACTTCTTGTAATGGATATGCTAAACTTCTTAAATCGCACCTAAAAGCAACCACGTTATGAAATCATATTAGACAATGAGACAAGCCCATGTAGTATAGGGTGAAGCTATCGAATTAAGATAACATAAATATCTATTTATATAAAATAATCGTTATGTGCTTTATAATAAGCTGTGTAAATATCTCACTTCGATGTCAAAAAAACAAACGTTGTTGGGGGGAATTTCATTTCGTTTAAAAGGGCATAAGAAGAGATTCATTGGTCACTTTCATCAGATGAGTACGGATGAATCTCGTTGTACTGCAGCCGTTTAGCTTTTATACGATGTTCATGTTGACGCAGTCCACGAGGTTTCTTCCCTCGTTTTGGGTGAAAAATAGCTGATCTTTCGTCCATCAAATGATGGACATCATCAGAGCTAGGTATCATTCTTGTAAGAGTCTCACGTTGACACTAGACCAAGAATACCATCATACTTTATCTTACCACTTATATAGACTCAGTTAGGCTAAAATGAAATTAAAAACCTAGATAGCTCGATATAGAGTAGTTTAGCTAATTACCTTACATATCGGTCCTGTTACTTTTGTCTGAGTGTGTATGTGTGTATATGTGTGTGTTAGCGTCTATACGCAATATCGGTCCTAAATCAAACTTGTAAAAAAGTCAA